ACAGGAAGCGATTGAGAAGGAGAAGTAATATGTAACAATATCTTCACCTACTTACAGGGTCAATTGGCACCTAAAGCGTTTGACTCGGTCACATGCAGCTCAAGAACAGTAGTGGAATGTCGCAGATCTCTGAACGAGATGGCTGAGCAGTATGCTCTTCACCTGTTATGGGCACCAAAACATACCAGGACACGAAAAGGTGGACAAACTTGCAAGAGAGGGCACATCCATATCACTTTCGCAATCCCGGAAGGGTTTAGGTATGCCGTTCGCTACATGCAAGCTCATTCTAAGGGATTTATGTCTTGGGATAGTCGCACAACTTTCAGCATAACAAGCAGAGGGGAATTAGCCACAACCATGGGCCCCACAACGACTTCCGCAAAAACTGCAGAGATCAAAAAGAGCCAGAAACCTTCCCGCACCTGCTTTGCGAATGTCCAGCATTTTGCAAAAGACTGCGAAAGTTCTTGGGCTCAGAATTCTTCGAAGGTACAACCGACATAGCCGAAGTGGGAATACGGCAACTTTTGAGTTCCGCGGAGTTCACGCGATTTTTTGAGTACGAGGGTTTGAACGTTTCGCGTGGTAAAAATCTTAAGGGCGTAGGTGTGCTAGTTGGGTCAACGGCAGCCACTTTAAGCTAGTCTAACGTAAGTGATATCGCTAGACGAAGGAGGAAGTATAAAATCGCTCGAATTGAGGTACTCTAAACCATTGTTGGAATAAGAGCACGAAAATTAAAGTAGCAAGTAACAAATCGCGGTCCCATATGTGTCTGTATTCTTTGGAAGCTTTCGCACGTACTGCTGATCTACCGAAAAATAGTGCTGTTCATATATGTACACACATATATTTCCGAGCCATGTAGCGAATTTAAATTCATATTTTTGTTCCAGAAGAATAGTACTGTAACACATTTGACTCATTAACCGCAAAATCGAGTAATTTCTCACAAAAATTTACAATCTGTATGAATGTTTATGCGAACGCTTTTTAAATTGCTAAATTAATTAAAATTCTTAAACTCATTTCTGATGATTACTTAAAAAAAAAAAAATACTTAAGTATGCGCTCCGTACAAAGCCATCTGCATTCGAGAGATGCAGGAATAGCAACCGAACATACTCAGTAATCAACGTTTTCATAGCACCATCGCTGCTGCTGCATCGAAATGCGCTGAAGCGTGCCGTTCACATTGGACATGTTTTTCACTATCAACAACAAAATTACTTGACTTTGTGAACGTGAACGCAACGACGTCTTTCTTGTTGTCAACAACATCGCTTGCGGACACTGATTGCTATTGCTATTGTGACGCAAACCGAGAGAGAGACGTACAGACCAGACGGCAGTGGAGGGGCAGATGAAAGACGCAACAATGATGTTGGAAACAAAGTCGAAAGAAATCATTGGCCAATCTAAACGAGCCGGCGAGTTGCAAGTGAATTGTAAAAGCGGAGCTTGGGCATTGGGTAAGCAAGGTGTATATATGAAGCGCCGAAAAAGAAAGATTTGCTATATTGCGCGATTTGCACGCACTCACGCAACATTCACACAGCTGGCGATTTTATAAATGTTGCCTAGCGTTACATTTCGTTGGGTTAAAAATATATGTACATATACACATACAATATCGTTCATATGAATAGCACCCCCAATTCAAAGTGATATTGTTTAGCATTTATGTTTATTTATTTATTTTTAAGAATTTTCAATCAAAATACAGTACTTTCTCTAACAAAACCCATAAAAATTGCATCCAAATTTTAAACTTTTTTCCTAAAAGATTCGAAATTTTTTAGCATACAGTTTTATAGTTTATTAATTTTTATATGGCAAAAAAATTCTAAAAAATCAACGGCAATTTTTAGCCACTTGAAACTTGCGTATTATTACACCGAGAAATAAGTTTAAAATTTGTATGAATATTTGTTGAATTTCTTTAGAATTTTAGTTTTCTACAAAGTTTAAAGCTTGGGTTTTGTTAGAGAATGAACCGTATTTTAATGGAAAATTTTTAAAATAATATCACTTTGAAATGGGGGTACTATTTATATGATCGATACTGTAAATCTTTGTAAGTACGTTAATGGCCCCGAACCGGACCAGTTTGCATGCGCCGCACAAGGGTATTGAACAAATACAGCCCTGAATCGAAATGCGGTGAATGTGCCGCGCGCGACGATGGTGACGATGACGTTGGAGTTGATCTTTTAGACATTTGTGGTAGCGGACGTGCACGCTGACGCTGACTCAGGCGTTAACCTGGTGGAGCCAAAACATATGTACATACATATACATAAACGTTGATTTACTTTACGAGATAGCTTATACTGTTTTTTTTTTGTATTTATTTAGTCGTTTGTTACTTTAACAACACCACCAAAACAAAAGTGCAATAATTTTTCGGCCTTGAGATGACTTGACTTTTAATAACTAAGCAAGCACAAAAGCGCTCAAAGCGCTGGTGAACGGAAAACTGAAATAAAAAGCTACATGCAAACTTACTCACCATCAACGGCTGGCTGACAGAGGGACAGCTAGATGGATGGATTAATGGTTAGCTAGTTGAGCAATAGCTTTATTCTTTGATTGCCTGATGTTTGCCTATGTGGCATGAATGTTGGTTGTTTTGTGCAGTTGCGGTTTACTTGGCGGCTGTCAGACAGTCATTCGCCTTTTGTTCGTTAAATGAATGAATATGGGGATTATTGTCTATATTTTATGAGTGTACTAATTTTTTAAACTTTTATATTGCTTTTTATAGAAAATTTCAAGCTCTGAAATGATTTATGAGCTGTTAAATAGTGAAAATCTCATTTGTGTATTACCAATGTTTAAATAGTGGATTATGGGGTCGTGGGGTCATCTTTTATCCTAAATAGTGTTTTTTGTCTTTCTTCTTTTACATATTTCTGTTTATTTTTATGTGTACTATTTGCGAGAATAACCTTTACATAATTTGCAAAAAAAATGTAGATTTTTGAAAGTAGCTTTTACGATAGCGTTAGCTTTTCGAACGTTAGTTATTGACTTAGCTACACACGTTGAAGGCATTCCTACTTGTTCGATAATTTTTTCTCCCATTGGCGACGTATGACAGAAGAACTACACGGAGCCAACCCTCTTCTCCCCGACGAAATCAACGTCCCTTGCTTGAGGAAGAGCCTTCGCCCATATATATATATATATATATATTCATAGAGAGTCGATTGACATCTACCATAATTCTCGACCTATGAGTGCCGTCACCGGAGTCCAATCCCAATTACGGATAGGATATTGTAGCGGCTTAAACAGCTACTAATCCAAACTCGACCTCCATATATGAGTTCGCAGCATCTCGAGACTCTCCCCATAACACCAACCTCCTCTTCACAAGTCAGCTCAATAGTACTCAGCTAACACTCCTCTGTCTCAGATCCAACCCCGTGGAAACAGCTCGTTTTCTGGGCCTAACGATGGTTGGGCTCAACGACAACGAATGATAGACAAACCGACAGTTTTGCTGGTATTTAACAAAAACCATATAGTAAGTCTAAATTTCAAACTTTGTAGAAAAATTCAACAAAATTTCACAATAACAAGAATTCGCATTGGTAATCTTTTTTTGCTGACGGTGTCAAATTTTTTTTTCTTACAAAGTACGGTCGACAATGTTTTTTGTATAAACTTGCACTTTATTAAGCTGGAATTTTGAATTCTTAAAACGGAGTATGTTGTAAAATTTGTTTGAATTTTTCTAACGTTTCTACAAAGTCCGAAATTTGGACTTATGTAATGGTTTTTATACAGAAATAATAAACATTAAGTAAATAAAAGTTAAGCTAGACAAAATGTCGTGGTAGTATTATTTTTCACATGACTGTATTTTAATTTAATATTGTGGGTGTTCACACTTGCCTGGCTGTGGTTATATTTTTTTATTCAGCTTACAACAATAAAACACACTACGGAATAATAATTTTGAACCAGATAACCTGACTGGTTATCAAGTGTGAACACCCAAATTATTTAACTTTATTTTATTTTCTTGTCTCGAAAGTTAAAAAAAAATATATATATTTCTATGCAATATGTACTATATCGCTCCATTTCCAAAAACCACCATAGTCGAGCAATTTTTTTTTAATGTATGTACTTACATATGTACGCATAAATAACATTTTAGACTCCATATTTTATTACAAATATATTTTGCTAATCTTTCTTGTGCTGTGCGGTTTTATTGTTATTGCAGCTCCAACTTTACATTTCATATGCATTGCGATCACTTTTTGTGCACTTTTAGTTTGCTATGGTTTTTTCTGTGATTTTCCATTCACTCCTTCTTGATACTCTGCTTTTATTTTTCTTATATATATATTTCGGTTTGCCAGTCTGCGGTATTTGAGGTGTGTTTTTTGCCGTTGTACAGCTTTTTGGTGTGTTGCATAATTTATGCCACACCAGGAAACCTGTCGTCGTTGAAAATGCACTGTACCGAAGATTTTTTGTTTGTTTGGAATTACCATTATATTCGTTATTGCAACAATCAGGAGTTTTGGATTTTTCTTTGTGTGCCATAAAAAATATGGTGTTGCACATAAATAAATCTTTGTATTTGTAATAATTACTTGGAAATCAACACAAGCTATTTATTTGTGGTGTTCTTTTTTCTAATTCACATTTGGTTGGGGTTTTTTTTTTGACCGATGTCTGGTAAACAAACTGAAAGCATTTACTAAGAAACGATTATGAGTACTGATAAGAATTTAAATATGTAAATGTAGATGAGCGCTTGAGTACAGAAAAATTAGTTGGGGATGACAAAGCGCTTGAAGCGCACATTGATGCACAAAAGAAAAAAAAAACTGTCAGTGAACTGTAGAATTTTTAATATAGAACTGTTTACTTTTAAAAACCGTTCAAATTTTGTTTTTAATGAATTTCAAACTAAAACTGTTTTAAAATGATTGTTTTTTTTAACATTCTTGTTTACCTTTTTTTCTTTACAGTAAGTTCCGGTGTGCCTCATACAGTTTATAAGGGAAATCACAGAAAATACACAAAAGAATGTTTGTTGATTTATGATCGAAAAACCGGTGGTATTACGTTCGAGAAATTAAATCACAATATACAAGTGAAAAAGACTAGGTAAGTAAAGTAAAATATTCGGGATTAAAATTTTTAGATAATTTTCGCGCCCAAATACTATCAAAATGGAAATTTACATAAGAATTTTACCAGTTTGCATTTATCACCGTTCCCCTATAAACCACTTGGTGCTTAGCAAAAAAAAAATGCTTGAGCTTCGAACATCCATCGCTTTGACGTCATCGAGATCATTCAAGAAATTACTGCCAAAAGCGTTTGCTCTCCGTTTTGATTGAGCTGGGGAATGACAGAGAAGGTATTGGATGGTGTTTCTTCTCAAGCATGCAGCTTTTGTAGTAGTCGTGGCGGCGTGTGCCCAGTCTAGCTGCGTATAATCCAATCGTGTGAGAACTATAGTTACTATATCGCACATTTAGTAATATTTAGAATTATTTTTAAATTTCTATTTTGTGGGGAAAACGCAATCAGAGTTGGATCAATTCATATACATAGGGTGTATACCAAAATACAGGCCAGTATGCAGCTCTCAAGAAAAGCAAAAACTCCATATAAAATGACGTATTTACAAGAAATGGCTTAGAAATTTTCTTGAGTCAAATTTCCTTAAGGCAGTACGCAGTTCTTAAGAAATTTGTTACGCTTTCTACTACGGTTTTCTATTATTTATTTATTTTTTTTTTTTTTTTGAAAAAAGAGCACAAGGCAATCCAAGCTTGCAACCGAAATAGGGCCAATCCTGTATTTCTCGGACGAAAACTAGTAAAACTGTCAAAAAATAAAAATTCGCTCAGAGCGAGAAAGTAAAACTCTGTCTGTCAACTTCAACATAACCTCCAAATTTAGGTTGTAAATTTTTGCTAATTTTGTATGTAAACACACATGTTAGTATCCAAAAATACTTCCAAATTCATTAGAATCCACTTAAACAATTAAATACTTTTCAACATACATTAGCAGAGTTCAATTTTCTTTTGTTTACAATTTGGTTGTCAAACACACTACAGCTGATCGTTTGACATTTTTACCAGAATTTACTAGCAAAAAATCTTCGGACTACAACTGGTAACTTCTGACAGAGACTTATTTACGCTCTTTTTTGTCCTAATAATAGTCAGTGAACCGAGTATGGGATCGATTTCATGTAAAATCTTACTATTTCTGACTAGTCTGGACTCGTACGGGATTGCAACCAATAATGCCCGTTCCATTATTTCTTGAGGAAAGAGTTTTGTAGGCATTTTTTAAGAATTTAGTTTTTTTAAAAACCATTTTTTTTACTTTATTTTCAGGAGTGAAATGACAAACAAGCCAAGTGCGTTAGCAGCTAATGCAAACGTGCCAGCGCCTCAGCAAATTAAGGAGAATAGCACGATGCGCATCTCATCGAAGACGAAAGTGTCGACAGGGAGTCGACGGAATAATATAAGTGAGTTAAAATAAGTATTTAAACTTTGCTGAAATAATTCCAAAATCTAACACAATATAAGAGTTTAAAAATATATATTTTATCCATTGTAAGTACTTAAAATTTGTTAAAAATTATTAACTTTTTTACACGTTTTTCCCCAGTTGATTTTAAGCCAAGAAACTCGCCATCCGCGTCAGCTTCACCGTCTGCACCGCCATCCATACACAAAAGTCCACAATCAGCTCCGGCGTGAGTATTCCAAAATAAATATATATATTTGAATGCACGTTCATAATATTGTTAATATATATTCATTTTTGCAGCTGGAACGCGCACAATACTCAAGCCACGTTGCCTAGCATTCCAATGATCTTCGATGACGATGATGATGGCATGTTTGGTCTGTCCTCTGCCGCTGGTAATAGTCACACGCACGGTGGTGGTGTTGGTAGTGGCAGTGATGCGGCGAATATATCCACATCGTCCTCGGCGTCGAGTCATAATAATTCGGCGCATGAATATCTTATGCAGCAGCAACAACAGCAGCAGCACCATCAACAACCCTCTCCGACAAAGCAGTCTAAGCAATCGCATCGTAACAATCAAAAACGGCACAATAATCTTAGTTCGGCGGCGACAGCGGCATTGACAAGTGCGTCTACGACGACGGCGACGACGACGACTGCGGCGACGGCGCCTAGTCGTAGCGGCAAGCAAACAAAACACAATCGCATGGAGCAACGAAGTATGTCGACAACTAGATTTTAATTAAAAAAAGTGTTAACATTTTTGTAAATTCGGAAATTATTAATGGTTATTTCTCTTACTAGCTTCCTCGCCGCAAAACTTTGCACAGCAACAACAAAGGCAACAACAGCACAATCACTATCAGCAGCAACAGCAACAGCACCAGCAATCAAGCAACAATCGCATGTACTCTTCCTCCTCAAACACCACATCCTCAGCTCATTTGTCCAATGGTGGCATTGCTGGCTATCACAGCAGCAGCAACAATCTATCTATGGGCAATCATACGGGCAGCAATCATATAATGCAACAGCAGCATCAGATGCAACAGCAGCAGCACATGCCAGGCATGGCATCGCCAAACGATGAAATGGCCAATGCGGCGGCGCAGCTAGAGCAGGTGAGTGCCTTTTGTGTTGTTTAAACTGTTCTAACAGAAAAATAAGTTAAAAAATTTTAAAATATACTGGTGGCAGAAATAATAGACTATCCTTATTTTCACCAGTTTCGGCTGTATTTCTTTGGTTAACTTAAAGTTTCATATTTTTTATACAAGCCTAGCTAGTTATAAAACAAAGACCATGTCGTCGCTTGGCGCGCAATACCTCGTATTCGCTAAATGCAATACCACGTATGAAGTGGCATAGAAAGAATTATTTTGGCTATGTGCATAATTATAGTAGAGAAAATATTATTCGGGAATTAGGTGCAATTTAGGGCCACCAAAATTAATTTTGATGCACTCCTGGTTTCCGAAATATTCGCAAAAATGTGTTTTCGATGCACACTCGGTTTCCAACCGAATATTTCGGAAACGACTGTGCACCGAAATCAGTTTTGGTGGCCCTAAAAAACGCCTAAATTGCACCTAATTCCTAAATAATATTTACCAGTGTTCGACGAAATTTAGTGGGTGGGAAAGCTAGCGTGACGTCACGCTGGTAAATATTATTAAGGAATTAGGTTCACTTTAGGGCCACCAAAACTAATTTCGGTGCACACTCGGTTTCTGAAATATTCGCAAAAATGTGTGACGTCTCGCTAGCTGACCGACCCACTAAATTTCGTCGAATACTGGTAAATATTATTCAGGAGTTGGGTGCAATTAAGGGCCACCAAAATTAATTTCGATGCGCTCTTGGTGTCCGAAATATTCGCAAAAACGTGTTTTGGTCAGCCAGCGTGGCGTCATGCTAGCTGACTCACCCACTAAATTTCGTCGAACTCTGGTAAATATTATACAGGAATTAGGTGGAATTTAGGGCCACCAAAATTAATTTCGGTGCACACTCGGTTTCCGAAAAATCCGCAAAAATGTGTTTTGGGTCAGCTAGCGTGACGTCACCCACCCACCCAATAAATTTCGTCGAACTATGGTCAATATAATTCAGGAATTAGGTGCAGTTTAGGACCACCAAAATTAATTTCGGTGCACACTTGGCTTCCGAATTATTCGCAAGAATGTGTACTGGTTCACTTCACGCTAGCTGACCCACCCACAAAATTTCGGTGCACACTCGGTTTCCTACCGAATATTTCGGAAACCGAGTGTGCACCGAAATTAGTTTTGGTAGCCCTAAAAAACACCTAAATTGCCTCTAATTCCTGAATAATATTTACCAGTGTTAGACGAAATTTTGTGGGTGGGTCAGCTAGCGTGACGTTACACATTTTCGCGAATATTTCGGAAACCGAGTGCGCACCGAAATTGATTTTGGTGGCCCTAAAAACACCAAAATTGCATCTACTTTGTGAATAACATTTACCAGTGTTCGACGAAAGTTTGTGGGTGGGTCAGCTAGCGTGACGTGATCCAGAACACATTCTTGCGAATAATTCGGAACCCACGTGTGCATCGAAATTAATTTTGGTGGCCCTAAACTGCACCTAATTCCTGAATAATATTTACTACAGGTCGACGAATTTTAGTGGGTGGGTCAGCTAGCGTGACGTCACGCTGGTAAATATTATTCAGGAATTAGGTGCTGTTTAGGGCCACCAAAATTAATTTCGGTGCACACTCGATTTCGGAAATATTCGCAAGAATGTGTGACGTCACGCTAGCTGACCCACCCACTAAATTTCGTCTAACACTGGTAAATATTTTCAGGAATTAGGTGCAATTTAGGGCCGCTAAAATTAATTTCGGTGCACACTCGGTTTCCTACCGAATATTTCGGAGCCCTAAAAAACACTTAAATTGCACCTAATTCCTGAATAATTTTTACCAGTGTTCGACGAAATTTTGTGCGTGGGTCAGCTAGCGTGACGTCATGCTGGTAAATATTTTTCAGGAACTAGGGGCACTTTAGGACCACCAAAATTAATTTCGGTGCACACTCGGTTTCCGAAAAATTCGCAAAAATGTGTTTGGGTCAACCAGCGTGACGCCACCCACCCTCTAAATGGCCGACTAAAAATGCATTTTTGCGAATTTCTTGGAAACCGAGTATGGACCGAAATTTGTTTTGGTGGCCCTAAAAAACATTTAAATGGCACCTTATTCCTGAATAATATTTACCAGTGTTCGACGAAATTTAGTAGGTGGGTTAGCCAGCGTGACGCCACATATTTTTGCGAATATTTCAGAAGCAGAAATTAATTTTGGTGGTCCTAAAAAACACCTAAATTGCATTTAATTCCTGAATAATATTTACCAGTTTTCGAAGAAATTTAGTGGGTGGGTCAGCTAGCGTGACGTCACGCTGGTAAATATTATTCAGGAATTAGGTGCACTTTAGCGCCACCAAAATTAATTCCGGTGCACACTCAGTTTCCGAAAAATTCGCAAGAATGTGTTTTGGGTCATAAATTTCGGTGCACACTCGGTTTCCTACCGAATATTTCGGAAACCGAGTGTGCACCGAAATTAGTTTTGGTGGCCCTAAAAACACCTAAATTGCATCTAATTCCTGAATAATCTCTACCAGTGTTAGACGAAAATGTGTGGGTTGGGCCAGCTAGCGTGACGTCACACATTTTCGCGAATATTTCGGAAACCGAGTGCGCACGGAAATTAATTTTGGTGGCCCTAAAAACACCAAAATTGCATTTACTTTTTGAATAATATTTACCAGTGTTGGACGAAATTTAGTGAGTGGGTCAGCCAGCGTGACGTCACACATTTTTGCGAATATTTCGGAAGCCGAGCGTGCACCGAAATTAATTTTGATGGTCCTAAAAAATACCTAAATTGCATTTAATTCCTTAATAATATTTACCAGTTTTCGATGAAATTTAGTTGGTGGGTTAGCTAGCGTGGCGTCACGCTGGTAAATATTATTCAGGAATTAGGTGCACTTTAGCGCCACCAATATTAAATTCGGTGCACACTCAGTTTCCGAAAAATTCGGAAAAATGTGTTTTGGGTCAGCCAGCGTGACGTCACCCACCCACTAAATTTCATCGGCCTTTGGTAAATATTATTCAGAAATTAGGTGCAATTTAGGGTCACCAAAATTGATTTCGGTGCACACTCGGTTTCCTACCGAATATTTCGGAAACCGAGTGTGCACCGAAATTAGTTTTGGTGGCCCTAAAAAACATTTAAATTACACCTAATTCCTGAATAATATTTACCAGTGTTCGACGAAATTTAGTGGGTGGGTCAGCCAGCGTGACGTCACGAATTTCTCGGAAACCGAGTGTGCACCGAAATTAATTTTGGTGGCCCTAAATTGTACCTAATGTTCGACGAAATTTAGTGGGTGGGTCAGTTAGCATGACCGTCACGCTGACTGACCCATATATTTTCTCGGAAACAAAGTGAGTACTTAAATTAATTTTTGGGGCCTTAAATTGCACCTAATTTCTGAGTAATTTTTATCATTTTTTGGAGAAGTAGGTCAGCTAGCGTGACGGACGTGTTTCTTCGCTCGTTTCCGACTATCTTATACGTGGTATTGCACTTGGCGGATACGAGGTCTTGCGCGCCAAGTGACGATATACTACATTTCCAATTTTATCATGCCTATTACGGTAACCGACGGTTGCCATCCGCATTGGTCTAATCTTTTCGTGCGGACAGCATCCGTCGGATACCGTAACAGGCATGTATAAAAAAATTGTAAACAATTTTTAGAACACTTCGTGGTATGCAGATTTATAGCCCAATGAATTTTAGTAAAGTGCAAGCTTCAACTGGCTACAAAATACCGTTGATTTTTGGTAATTTTTAAACAAAAAATTCGAACATACTTGGTGTGGAAAAATGCGTGATACCGTAAACCAAACAAATTTAAATTAACGGTAATTTGTAGCTACTTGGAATTTGCACTTTATTATAGTAAAATTGAATCGGCTTTAAAACTGCATACCATTACAAATAAGATGTTCGAAATTTTGGTGAAAATTTGTATTTTCATAAGAAAACACTGAACCAAATGTAAAAATGTACCTACTTAAAAACTAATCATTTAAACCCTCCTCTCTTCTCCAGCAAATTCTCGGCCTCAGCTCATCCAGTTCGAGTTCTGGTTCTGATTCGAGCGGCAGTGATAGTGGCAGTGACTCAGACGATAGCAGTGATGATGATGTTGGCGCTGGCAATCAGCAACAACAGCAGCAGCATCAAATGCATCAGTTGCCAAATCTAATGTCAGCGCTTCCGCCAATGACTGCAGCTGCGCCACAACAACATAATCGCAATACACACACGTCTGGCTATGCGTCGTCCAACAGCAATAACCACATGAATAGCCACAACAGCAATAATGGTGCATTTACAAGTGATCTGCTGCAAAACGATCTACAACTGTCCTCAAATTCTTCCGATGACGACGATGATTAGTGGGCATGCATGCTAGAGATATGTATGTGTGTACATACGCGCTACATTTGCACACAAAAACATACATACATATAGTATGAAAAAAAAAACTGAAACTTACATACACATAGAATTGTGCAGCTGTTTTTATTTTTGAAATTGTTTATTTAGCTGTGTGTGGGTTGTGTACTATTTAAAGCGTATTTATACATATACTCTAGCTATATAATTATTCTTTATAGTTTAGGCAACTAATTTTCTTTAGGAATTTTTAAATAAAATAATAATTATTTTTAAATAAAATAATAATTATTTTTTGTTTTAATGAGAATTTAAATTTATGAATCGCCCGCATAAAAAAAACAAAGTTGTACTCTTTTGTTGCTAAGCTTCAAATCGCTGAATTTGTTTATAATTTTCCTGTTGTAATATAAGCATAAGAAACGCGAAAACGTGCAAGAGAGTAAGAAGGGGGCGAAACGAGGGTTAGGGAAGAGAATTTAATACTAGTAAAATTGAAAACTTATTAAATAATGCTACATTAAATTAAGTACGCATGTACTAATTAAATAATAAAAAAAAACTATGTGAATTTTTTTTTTGTAAAAAGCAGCGCTTTAAGTGATGAGCATAACTGAAATTAGTAAATAAATACAAAAAACGAAAATACGCATATAGAAAACTAAGGGAACTTGAAAAGCGTGCCGAAGGAAATGCGTAAGGCATAAAAAGGGAAAATTGAAATAGAATAGTTGAAAACATAGCAAAATAGCATTAACATATGGAAAATGCATACAAACGAATGAAATTGCCAATTTGTATATTTAAATAATTTTTTGTCATTTATTTTTGTATAAAATAAGTAAATAAGTTTAGTTAAATAATGAAGTGAGATAGTATAGTATGGAGTATGTTAATACGAAAAATGTGTGAGAATAAGTCAAAACAAAAATACGTAGTAAACGAAAACAATGAACAGCAAATATGCAATCAGCAATTGTGAAAAATTAATGAAACGAGATTTATAACAAAAATATAAAAATAAAATATAAAAGGGCAAATAAGCGTACTTTAATAAAATACGTACACACAACCGTATGTATGCGTATTACCATTATATGTATGTATATGTAATATGCATGATAAAACAACTGCAACATAAAGTTGGCTAAAACCGAGATTTTGTAAAATGTATACAAGTAATTTATTTTTATAGTTTTCGTCCTAAAATTATTAATTAACACTATAGTTTACTACGTTTTAGCACTGAATATAAAATTTCACTGCTCTTAAAATATCTGGAAAAAAGTGATTGCTGCACACGTGTGATATGCGTTAGAATTTGCTTTCGAATTGTCAATATTCAGCCTTATCACGAGTTTCATTTTCGCCCGGCATCGTTCGCTTTTCTCTTTCCGCTTACGGGCGGATGAAAAAATTTCGGCTGAATTTGTTTTCGGGCGAAACTCAGGAGAAGCCTGATTATTTTTATGAAGAAGAGGAGGCCACTAAAATAGTTAAGTTGAAAAAACCTTATTCCGCAAAAATATTTCTTACAACCTTTCGACAGTTCAAAAAACCTTTCGAAATTTTCACGAGATTTCGTGCTTTTTGCCAGCCTTTGCCTTAACACCCCTAATGCGTGGAGTAAAAAGTGATTGCATTTGTTTGAAAGAAGAACTGGAATTTTCGCCCAAGTGTTTGCTGTTTCATTTCCGTGAAAACTTACGCCAGACAGCCAACGCCAGACAGCCAGTAGCCCCCCAGGCTATGTGTGCTAAATGTACGTGTGTATTTTGCCTGGCACTGCTCTAGATGAACGTCAGTGCCAAAACTGGTTCAAAAAAATTCGATGTCTATTGAAACTTGAAGAACACTTGTTTTTTTTTTATGATATTTGGTAATTCCATGTGCTTACAACAAAGTGGAAAGCCAATTGTTTTGGTTCCGACGTGCATATGCGCCCTAAGCGAATTCAAAAGCAGAACTTGATCAAAGAAAGGTTATGCACTAAGTGCGAAGCGATGTGAAGGACGTAATCTTTTTTGAACTCCTACCAAAGAACCGAATAATCAATTCCGATGAATACTGCCGGAAAATTGGACAGTTTGAATGAATCTGTCGTCCAGAAACATCTGTAGCTTGTCTATCGTAAAGGAGTTGAGTTTCTCAGCTGCATTTTAGAGATAAATACAAAAATGTTCTTTATAAATAAACCTGCGTAAAGCTGTTACAAAGCCTTCAAGAATGTAGAGAATCTCGTATGTTTTGCTGAACCGTTACATTTTTTTTCACGATTAAATTGTATCCGCTTAATGGAAACAACATGAAATTCAAAGGAGCTCGAATAAATTACCTACAACACGAGCAAAAAAATTAAACTTTTGAGCAAATTTCTTCAAGTATTAACGATAGTTATAATGCAGTTTTAAGAAAAAAAAATCCTTAAAAATTAATATGGAAGAGTCGAAGGTGTAAAAATGGTATCCTAATAGAATAGGCGCATTGACTCTCCATTATTGCCATTAATCAAAAACTATTTTGCCAAGCTTAACATTTAATGAAAAGTATAGAAAGGCGTGTGAAGACCCCTCATAATTTGTTGGTGTAATACCAGAAAACGAACTTTATAAACCTTTCGGCAAAGTTGCTGGAATTTTAAACGGTGGCCGAATACAAATTGTGCGAGTACCAACATAGTACGCTGTTGGGTGCATTCGAAAACGTCAAAGTACAAAGCATCAATCTCTTTTATTTCTAAACCTCAGCAGATTGTCATGCCAAATGTACGCAACCACGGTTATAGCCCTATTTTGTATGGCAACTGGATTTTTGTTTTAGTGCGATTTAGAAATGAAAGAGACCGATGCTTTGTATTTTGACGCTTTCGAATGCACAAATTCTAAATACACGCAAAGATATACCGAGCAATGATTTACAGCAATAGCAACCAATATGTGAATATTCAGTTCTAAATGTATCATACCGATTACTACAAAACGTTATTTACTTGTAAAATTTTTAAATATAGTTTGAAATTTGATTTTCCCTATTTATTTAACTAAATTTCGTTCAATATTTGTATACTCAAAATAACTAAATTCTTTTGATTTTTTTTAATTTTCTTAGTTATATAAAAACTGGCTTTTATTATTATTATACTTATTTATTAAGAAACGTAAATGCAATAGCAAAATGGGTGTTTGTTTAGTTCTAATGAAACTGTTTAGCCGTTTAAAATTTTGGTTCGAAAGTAACAAAAAATTTACGAGAATCATTTTCAACTGAAAAATTGTTCATAAAATTCTCTAGGCGAAAATTGAATGAGGAAACTATATGTATGTACAGTATCGGTTACATCAATAGCGGCCCCCATTTCGAAGCGTAATTTTTTTGCCACTTAAGTATGTTTACTTATTTACTTTTAAGAATTTTCATTTAAAATATAGTTCATGCTCTAGCAAACCTCAAGTTTATAACTTTGCAGAAAACTAAAAAAATTTAACAAATTTTCAGCCAAATTTCAAACTTTTTTCTCAGAGGTGCTACAAATTTTTTTGAGTATGCAGTTTTATAGCCCTTCAAATTTTATTGTAATAATGGACCATATAAATAAGAAAAAGCAATTGCTTAGTTTTTATTCATACGGTCAAATGTGGAAGTTTCAAGTAGCTAAAAGTTTCCGTTGATTTAAAATTTTTTTTTTGTCGTATTTGCTTCCATATAACGAATAAGCACAATTTATTTTTAAACTAAAGAAAACCGCAAAAAAATGGGTGCTTAGTAAATAACTATTTGTCGCATTTCAATTTTTGCTAAGCATACTTCTAGGCAGTTTCATTATTCTATGACTCACTCTAGTTACATAGCTCGCTGAGCAGCCACAGCAAATACATACGTAGCAATTCACTCAGCAAAGGAAAAAATTAAAGAACTAATGTTGCCATTTCAACTGTAGTATGGAAGTTGTAAAAATAAATACTAAAACATAGTAAAACTGGCAGTGTTAAAAATACACATGCGAAATGCAAGAGTTGCATATAAATTAATTTGAACTTTTCGTATAATACATATCGTTGATTTACTAACAGACGGCCATAACTCAAATGATCCAGAATTACTTTTTGTTCACACTTCATATTGTATAAAAATTTCGTGTTAAAATCGTGTGTCGTTTACGCATCTTTTTCGACGTTTTATGAGCAAATTAAAAACTTTCAACTCGTCTCCGGAAAATTTAGTTTTTTGAATTTTGGCAATATTTTAGTAAATTAGTGATATGTACTTTTTTTTTTTAGCTGGAAGCAGTTGCGAAATGCAGTTGTCCGTCCCAACTCTTTTCGGTTTGAAAGACTTCAATATATGTATATTTTCTTTAACAATTTGGGTTCAGTAAATTGCTAACCGCAATAAACTCGCTTGCTGTATTTTTTAGCAATTCGTTATGAAATGAACCAAGCGTCCATTTTCTTTCTTTTGCCTACTATTCTTTTGCTATTTTCAATCGCCCAAACTTTAATTGATTCTCCTCCTTAATTTTACTTTATCTGTTTATCCTTATACATAATTTAGATTAAAATAGTTGTGTACATTTTTTTAAACACATTTTGCTATTTGCTGCTGCTTAATAGATATTGTTTTGTAATTTGTTACAAAAAAAAAAAAAACAAACGCATAAAGACATTATTTGTTTTGTTACATAATTTTTAGCGCAAGATTATATAAATTAAAAAAATTAATTTAATAAATTTATGCAAATAATCCATTGTTATTAATGATTATAATTTTTTTTTGTCTGTCACGCTACAGTCCTAGGTTTATTATTTACTATTGAATTGATTATCGTTTAATTTGAGTTTGAAAAATTCACAGAAAAAATTAATAAAAACGCAAAAGCCATATAAATGTTACATTGGACATTTATGTGTTTATTGCAATATACTATATGAGCATAGAAGGAGTTTGTTTTATTTGTGTCAAATGGTAATTAAATAGGAAGCTCTATAAAAATTATTTTACTTTACGGCAAACGAGACTACTCATCAACTTACAGATTTTGTGTCGCCAAATTCGAATCTGAATACAAAATTTAAAAGTTAGCTCGCCTTTTATTATAATCTAAAAAATATATTATTTTGGTACATTTTGAGGTTATAAAATAGTGGAGTTATTTTAGGTTACGAAAATATGGATCGGCCAACATTTAAATGCTGGTTCCACACACGGATTTGGTTACCCAAAAGAAGATTATCAATTTGTAGAAATATATATATTTTTTTTATAAAGAATGTTACCGCATAACTTTGGACCACGTTAACCGATTTTCTTTTTTAAACGGAAAGGTGTTACCCAAAGGTGGTCACATACTAATTTGGTTTAGATTCGATCATTGGATCTTGAAGAAATTAACGATAATCTTAAATTTTTATATGGGAATTGAAGTCGGTTGTGTTTTTTTGCTTAAAAATTACTTGTATTTATGGCTGTGCGATTATTCGATTACTCGAGCAAGTTGGTTAATCAATTACTCGAGTAATCAAGATTTTGATTACTCAAAACGATGATTAATCGAGTTACTTGAAATATGATTACTCAAAAAAAATAATTTTGCTCGTTAAAAGAGTTTGCTTTGGAAAATGCTTATTTTCTTTTTTACATTCTGTATATAAAAAATTTTTTTGTTTTAATTTTTGAAAACAGAAACGTTGTTTTCAAAGTATCAAGGAACTTTAACTACTTTATACATATGTAAAGAGTTGAAATGTTGATTACTCATTTTACTCGAAATGTTGATTAATCATAAAGCAAATTACTCAAATATTTTTGTTTTTGGTTAATCAAAAATCTTCATTACTCGAGTAACTGAACTTTTGAGTAATCATAATTTCCAATTAATCGAATAATTGAGTTATTTACTTTATGATAAATTAAAATTTTGAGTAATCAATTAATCGCACAGCCCTACTTGTATTCATTTATTTTATTACATTAAATATTTTCATGCTCGGTTCCACCAATCGCTAAATCAAAAATTATCAGACTGCTAAGATTTATAATGGCTTGATTTCCTAACAAAATTTTTTTATTTTAAATTTCAACAATCAGATATATTTAAAATTTATTAGTGAAACGGGGCATCAATCCATTAATTTTGTTTTGAAATTCGCCTTTTAGTTATTTTGCAATTCTTCATTATTTGCCTTTCATTACATTTTAATCAAAGGTAAGTTCTTTTGGTTATTTCTTTATATTAATTTTTTAGCGCAAAAATTTTTAACTTTGATTTGCCTAAATTTATTTTAAATATTTTCCATAAAAACTTTTATTTTCAGGCATATTCAGGAAATTCATTACATATACAATACATTTTTTTTTTTAATATGTCCTTTTATTTATTTTAATATAAACTCCCAGTCATTTGAATAACATACCCTTCTGATCCTCAGTTTGTAAAGTTTTCTTTTGTTTGTTTGATATTCATTAACTTTCTATAAAAATGTGGCATATTCTACGTGCAAATCTGATTTTAAAATTTTATACAAATTTAAAAAACATGTCAACAAAGGGCCCACCCCTATAATACTAGTTAGTTAAATATCAGCAACTGAAGATGACACCACGCGCGTGTTGAAACAATTGCTTTGGGAAATAAACATTTTTAAGCGACAAAAGGGTGTTTTGTTTTAACTCATTCTAGTCTAAAAGGAAAATAGGCAAAATCTGTTAAAATGTCGTGTCCCTATTAATTTTCCGTTAATTTAATATTTTTAGAAAAATTTCGGGTATGCAGTTTCGTAGCCCATTAAATTTTAGTATAACAAAACGCAAGTTTCAAGTGGCTGCAAAATACCGTTGATTTTTGAAAATTTTTTTGTGTCATGCATTTTCTTCCATACAAAGCATGCTCAACAAAACTTTTATATGAATGAAAATAACAGTAAAAAATTATCGAAAAAATAAAAATCATAAAGTAACTATTAAAAATAATCGGAAAAATAAAAATCATAAAATAACGATTAACAATGATCGTAAAAATATGAATAAAAAATAACGATTTTGCAATAATTTTAAAATAAAAATTCTCGAAATAACGATTATTTTCGGTCGCTGATTTTAAGTCTTTAAAACGTGATGAACATCTTGTGAATCCCCTAAATATGTATTGCTACTACTACTATCTAAGAATTCTTTATAACTGAACAAATTTATTTAAAAAAATTCTCTACATTTTGAAATATGCGCAGAAATTTCGAGTTATTAGTGCAATTGCATATTTAAATTTTTGTTAAAGTGAGGTTACGGTCGATATTTTTAGTTATTGTTTTTTGGTTTGTGACATAAGAAAATGTTTGTTTTATATGAATTCAATTTTAAACTTAATTTTTGATGGATTTAATTTGTTTTAATTTTTTTGTTCGAAATTACTTTACAGCATGTGCTTTACATAATTTTCGTTCAGACGGCACTTTCTTGATTTTCTCTATTTGTCCAACAATCAACTGAGCTTAAGCTTTTGTAAAGAGAGCTACACTTATCACAAACCGTCGATATAAAAAAATACACCGTCTTAAGCTACGCATGTATGTAGGCATATGAATTTGTTAATAAAGGCGTTTTGAGTCAATTGATTTTACTTTATAGTTATATTAATTGTATTACACTAATAAACGATTTTATAATGCCATCCATCTATTTAAGTGAAATCTTATTAATTGCAATTTGCACTGTCCATTAGTTGTCGTCCATTTTTTGACAACCGTTCCCGAAAGTTACGAAAATACGCATAATAAAATTCGCAATTTGTAAATAAAAATAATAATTCATATTTTTCAGTTTAAAATGCCCATTGAAGCCGAAAAAAATTGTTTAGTTATTCCAAGTAAATTTCACTAAACAATAATTTTTTTCGCCAGGAATTGTTACTAAAAACAAGGCGCATCTATACAAGGTGGTGTTACTAGAACAGCTGGTTTGATATTTTTGTCTCTAGTACACTAGTATAGCAGAATGTAACCCAAGATGAAATGGCGCAACTTTAGGATGTCAACAAAACGAAATGGCGAAAATGTTTGTCTATTTTCTTTTGTTTTGACATTCTGATGCACCAAAAAGGAATAACAAAATACACGGGATTTTTACGTATATGCGCTTGCGACCTTATGTGGATGCGGCTTGACTAATAACTAAATATGTAAAGTAAAAAAAAATTAGTAACTAATGCCGCTTTGTACTCTCAAATGACTTAATCATCAGACAGATGACTTGGTAACTAAAAGTAAAAGCAAGCACAAAAACGAATGACCATGTTTTATATAATTTACTAATGAAACAATTTTATTTTTTGATTATTTTTTTTTTTAAGATTCAATTTTTTTCTAGAAACACGAAATAGTCATTGGGCCAATAGGATTATTTATGGGGAACATGGAGCATTGTGTTTACAACTATGGATAGGCCCATCTCGAAAAACAAAAAAAAAATATTAGGCGTTAAGAAACATTTATTTCTAGTCATGTTATAAAAAATGTACATTATGCCGTATTTGCACTAGGCACTGAAATGACAAGAACTTTGTTCTATTTAAAAATTTTGTATAGACCTACGGATCAAAATGTATTTAACAAGTGTGATTGAGTTTGACATTGCTTTCATAAGAAATATACTATAATGTCAAACGAATTTTTTATTTTTTTCAATTCTGAATCGTTTTTCTTTTTTTTTTAGAATTTTTTATAATGCCCAAATATGTCAATAAATCGTTTGTAATTTAGTGCCCAGTGCAATGCCGGCATAACAAAGGCAATTACCAAAAACAAACGCAGGCTCTGAAAAACAGCATTCGTAAATGAATCGAATTTCGAAATAGAATTTCATTCGTTCATAAATGCAGCAAATCGTGAGCACTGCTGGGTTAATTATGAGCCGTTTATTTTAAAAGTGGCATAAGACATTTCCGCCTCTTGTGGATTAATTCTAATTGAATGCATCTGTAAATCGTTCTACCGTCATAAAACTATAAAAAAAAACGGTTTACCATTAGCTGATGAAGTTCAACGAATAACAGACGCGTTCAGCTACAGGTAAATGATCACCACAGTCAAACAGCCTGAAATTACTTATGGCACTTTCAAAATAAGCGGCGCATATAATCAAGTACATAAATAAAATGAAAAAAAAACTAAAACATTTAAAAAATTAACAAAATGCTTAGATGTAAGCAACAGTAACAACAAATATTTTTTAAGTTACAAACACCCCCCCTCAGATTAAATGCCTTTAACATTTATTAAAATTAAATTCATCTAATATTAAGACCAATGATACTAATAAGAAAACAATTAAGTAAGTGACATGTAATTTAAATACAAACATACTTACATAAATAAGAACAAAACAAAAATGAACATAAAATCAGAGAGTGATGTGTTTTATTTAATATTTGCTTATACTGTGTAACTTTAAGCTAATCGCCGCCGTTGGAATGCAAGGAAAGGTAGGTTATGTAACTAAACTATATTTAAATTCTTCCTTATGCCGAATTTCTACTAGGTATTGAAATGACTACAAATGGGTGCCATTTAAAAAATGCCATGTGGAAATGAACTTAATTACTATATCCATGCCATTTAATACCTAGTGGAAATGCAGCATTAACTCAATTTAAATTTTTTAGTCCCAAGTATAAAAAAATTTGTTTTACTATATTGAAAAAGGTTTAGTGCTAACATTTTTTTTAAATAAGAGCTTATTACCTAAATAAAAAAGTTTTTCAATTAAAATTTTTACTTTATTTTCACTGCGTTGGTTGGTAGCGGTAGCATTTACTTTGTGCCGGTACTAGAATTTATAAATATATTCAAAATCAAATTTAACCTTTCATTATAGATTTAATTTTTTAGATCATAAAGAATTCGAAGCATTACAGAGTAACCCCCCTGAGCGGGGACAAATATTTTTATATGGAGTAGGTAAAATAGTAATCAAAGAAATACCGTTCGCAAAAAAAACAAAATAGCTTACAATAATAAAAAAACAGCTTTGTTGATGGTGGAAATTAGCATTTTGTTTGGAAATGACTCACATACATATTTCATTTTACTTTACTTTTTGTTTTAATTATTTTATGGCCGGTTGCACCAATCAATTTTAAATTTATCAGCTTGTTAAAATTTAAAATTACACAATTTTGTTAGGAAAACTTGTAATTTTAAGTTTTAGCAGTCTGATAAGTTTTAAAATCGATTAGTAAAACCGGGCATAAGTCTTTTATTCTTTGACTTATAACCAGTTTCACGGACACGTTAAATCGTGAATTATATTTTTTATATCTAAAAGTAATTTGTCACTGAAATTGCTTTCGTGCAATTGGCTATTTATACGTACTAAATAAAAAAAAATACTTATCATTTATCTCATAGGTAATGATTTATAATTAAAATTTTACGTTATAAAATATCCCTTCAAAGTCTCACTCTATTAAGCCTCACAAGCACGCTACTAAATTTACTAATATGCTACTAGTAATCAACGCTAGGTGGCAGCGCTGTCCACACTTGCTAATCATCACATTGAAAATGAGTGTCAAATTTTTGCTGTCAAATTCCATTCGGCAATTGTGTGGAATTATTCCGTTCCATTGTGTTCGTTGCGCCATTGCCGGCCGCTTATTAAATCCAGCAATTAATCCATTGCCAACTACAATCAATTCCAGAACATTTGTAACAACACAGCCAGTAAAAATGGCCGAAGCAACTGGTTTGAGCAACGAGGAGGCGGCGGAATTATGCAAGCCCGCAGATGCTGCTACTAAGGTAAAGAAAATACTTGGGTACGCCCTGGCGCGATCGAGTGAATTCAGAGATGAGCGAAATATTTATATAGTACATACATATGTATGTATGTATGTACCAGTATGTACGCATGTTTCCTTATATGAACATTTGTTCATAAATAAGTATACATATACATATGTACAAATGTGTACATATGTATGTACTATGTTCACATGTTCAGCCACAAAATATGATATGTACATATGAATATTCTTAAACTTCTAGGACTTCCTCTTCCAACAAACAATGTATCGCATCAAAGATCCTCGAAAATCGCTACCTTTCTACACCGGTGTGCTGGGTATGTCATTACTGGTGAAGTTGGATTTTCCTGAAGCCAAATTTTCGCTTTATTTTATGGGGTAAGCGCACATACATACATACATACGTAAATATGTATGTAGATAATTTGGAGTGTTTTATTGGCACTCAGCAACATCTGATAAGGATATAAAATAGTCATTCAATGACAAATGCAAACATGCTTTCGGTTGTATATAATATGTATGTTCAATATATCGTGTGCTTATATTCAATGCTCTCTATATGCAATTTTTACGGAAATTAGTTTTTTATGGCAACCTTATATTTGGCATAAATTTCATGCATGGCATTTATTTCCTACCTAAAATACATACATTGTACTTTATTTTCATTCTTAAAATTCAAATATCAATCTACATACATACAGACACTGACGGCAAAAAGTATTTCCACCGAAAATTGTTCACAGTATATGCAAAAATATTAACTTTATTTTTTCGCTAATTTTTTATAAAAATTTGGTTAATACTACAACCAAAAACAAAAAACCACAGTTTCTAAACTTTTTGCCAAACTCAGGAAAATTCAATAAATTTTCATGCAAATTTTCAACTTTTTCATAAAATTTTTTCTGCAGTTTTGTAGCCAAATAAATTGCAAGTTAGAGGTAGCTTGGAGTTACCGTTAATTTTTCACGCATTTTTTCCCAAAAAAAAAAATCAAATCCAAAATACTTTCTATGGAAAAAATTCGAAACACCTTCAAAAAAAAAAAAAAATCCAAAATCACCACGATTTTGTAGCAACTTCAAACTTGCATTTTTTTATACAAAAATTTAATGGGCTAAAATTTTTCTTCCCAATGGTAGCAGTTATTTTAGGACCTAAACCAAATTCAATTCAAGCCGTAGTAAAATTTTATGCTTTACATTTTTGTGGAAAGTCTTAACCCTCTAGTTAACATTTTTTCAAAAATATCCGTTCTGGTAGTAGTTAATGGGGTAAAGTTTTGAATGAAAAAAATTGCTGCTAAATTCCACTATAGGTCTCCGAAGGCAAGAGTAATGAATGGTTGAGGCCACTTTACACGTTTAAAATTTAGATTTTTAATCAAGAAAAAGACAATTTGATCCATTGTATAAAATACTTGCGATGAGGTAGAGCAAAAACAAATAACGTTAATATTTAAGTCACATTTTGGTACTTCAAAATTATTGAGAGATTCATAAGTGCTGGTAAAACACTCTTTTCCTCTCCTGAAAAATGTTATTTTTACAGATTGAGGATACTGAATATACATAAGTAGTGTATATGTATCAATGTCTAGTTAACACTTCACTTTTATTTGCAGCTACGAAAATCCCGAAGATGTCCCAAAAGACCAATCAGAGCGTAAACGTTGGGCCTTGACCCGCAAAGCAACCATTGAATTGACACAGTAAGTGACCTATTAAAGGCTTGCGTTTGAATTGTATGTGTTTGGCGTACTGTATATGCAAAAGAAAACAAGACAAAAACCGTGTGTGATATTTATTTGAAAAGGAATTAATAAAATGCATTTTTTTTTTGTAATATCAATAATGAATATCTAACTTTAGTTAAAAAGATTGGGCCAAAGAAATTATCATACCAGCCCAGTTAAAATCAAATATTTGGTATTAAATATTTCAATATTTCTTATTTTCAGCAACTGGGGCACTGAGAACGATGAAAATCAGTCATATCACAATGGTAATTCGGATCCCCGCGGCTTTGGTCATATTGGTATATTGGTGCCTGATGTGTATGCGGCTTGTAAGCGGTGAGCATGGCTAATTTAGTTACTTTAATTTGTATTGAGCATGTAGTAAAAAATTTATCGAGATGTACCAATGAGACTTTTGCGAACTGAAATCCCTCTCACCAGGGCATTAGCCATATATGGATGTATGCACATTAGACTGATTCAAAAAAACCGAGTTTTCAAAATTTGTGTGCGATGCATCTTTGAAAGCATCAAGAAAAAACATGTTGCTGAAAATTTGAGAAAAATCGGTGGTAAAAAAAAAAAATAAATAAAAGCTTGCAAAAGTACCAGCAACTTCTCAAGATAAGTGGTCCAATGCTAACGACTAAACAATAACGAATTTTTTTGGTATTTCGTAACAAAAATGAGGAGCCAGTTTTCCGCTTATTTACGTCAAATTCGAAAATGTAATAATTTTAGTCTCTTACGTTTATTTCCAGTTTTGAGGAACATGGCGTGGAATTCGTTAAAAAGCCCGACGATGGACGTATGAAGGGCTTGGCTTTCATCAAAGATCCTGACGGTTATTGGATTGAGATTTTTAAAGCGAGCACTGTGTAAAATTAATTTATTACTTGGTCGAAAATTACGTTCTAAAGTTTGTATTTTTACAATGCTTGTAAAGCTTTTCCATTGAATTTAAAAGAATTTAAAATTTGTTATAAAATAAAAGATTTCTAAAAATTTCTAAAAAGTCATCACTGTTATGATACTTCAAGCTCCTTGAGAAAGTGTTAAAAAACATACATACAATTGTGGCCACGCAAACCTTAACACTGCTTTAAAAAAAGACTAATAAGTGACTTTTTTAAATTAATACAATTTTGTATATAGTTCACCAACTTTGTACTAACTCAACGCTATCAGACAAACTCAGGCGCGTCGCGTTTGTGTCGCATGTTAACCTGTGGAGTTAACGAAACAAATAATAGGCACATCTGAGTTAGGATAGATTGTCTGACAAAGAGTCATATCTAAAATTTTAGTTTCTTAACGGAGTGGTGGTTGTATTATATTTACATACATACAAGAAATTTGTTTGTCTCCCACGAAAATTTCCATAAAAAGGACTATGCTTAGCAAACGACATGTTGCAAGCAGAAATGATAAATGATTATTAATTTATGTAAGAACGCAATCTTTTACCACATGCTATTTGCTTTAATCAAACATATGAATTTTATTCATGAAAATTCTTGAATGAAATTAAACCGTCTATGGATAGTATGAATGCATATTTACTACTACTATTTACAATGTTGCTATCTAATAGTTTTGCCTTTTAAATCGTTCCTTTTTCATGTGTGCGCTTATGAGAGCATTTTAGATACGAATCTATATAATTGTTTGCAACAAGTTTCCATCCGTCTGTATGTACATAAATTAGACTCATATAAATGCGCAAACATTTATTCAGATATCTAAACATACACCTACTGGAAAAAGTTTTCGTACAGATTTTTTTTTACAATATTCATAAAATAAAATTATAAAAAAAATTCAAAAATTTGTTTATAAAAATATAGAACATTCTATATCATAAACCGTTTAAATATAAGTTTCAAATTTTGCAGAAAATTTTTTAAAATTGCCAAATTTTCATCGTGCCTCATTCGGCTCTTCAACTAGAGTATGATTGAACTTTTTTTATATCGAAGAAAACACCGGCATCAAAAAAGTATCAAAACCAACGGAATTTTGTAGCGCATTATTATACTAAAATTTAAAGGCCTACATATATAACTGCGTAGCCAAGCATTTTCTAGAAATTCTGATAAAAAAAATGTTTAAAATATTGCTGAAAATTTGGAATTTTTTCTAAATTTTACACAAGCTTTGAAACTTATTATTATATGGTTTATATTGTAAACTTTCACAAAAAAGTAAACGAGAAATTTTTTGTAAAAAAGACCTCTGTACGGAAACTTTCTAGTGGGTGCATCATGTACGTATGTACGTATGTATGTATGTATGTTAACACGACCATGTTTCTCATATGCTAAAATGCCTTTCCCAATAGCCAAGCCTTTCGATGTATGGGCACTTTGTTTACCTCAAAAATAAATCGCTTGTTTGCGCCTAAATATCTGCCACATTAGTGGCGATGGAAGCGCATGTGGGTTTCGGACAGTAAGGCTATTATTGTTTGCACACCATAACTTTCCGTCGTATATCAATTTTATGCATAACACCATCAACTTGACGAAATTTTAAATTTCACTCAATACAGACATCAAAAGTTGCTGCCGACAGTTAACGAAATTAAGTCGTCGCGAGCGGTCATCGTTGGACATACCTACGCATAGATCTTAAGATAAAATTTTGGAGCGGCGACGGCAAAGAAAACAAAATATTCTTTCTATATATAAAAAAAACCTACTAACATTTAGAAATATATGCAAATATATAAAAGTGTTTATGAATCAAAAATAGTCAACGTTGATTTTAATTAAAAAAAAAAACAAAGAAACATGGAAATCAACGAATCATCTTTAAGTGTTTTTTATCTCAGTAAACTGTTAGCACTAGCACCAATTTCGATTCGCCGGGATGCTAAAGGCGTAGTAGAGATAAGACGCAGTATTTTAGTGTCCATATATTCGGTTACTTTTGGCTTTGCAATGGGTGTGTATGTGTGTCTTTGGAAGGAATATTAAAATTAAGTTTATTGAAACGAAAAAATATTTTTTGTCCAAACCAATTAAAATAACTAACATAAGAAAAAATATATTAAATATGTAGATAGTATTTCCTAAATGACGAAAGTTTTGTGTTGTTCTTTATGCAGTGATACTTTGTTACGAGGGCTTAATATTCGATGCAAACTCGGAAATTCCTTTGCGGTAAGAGTGGTCTAATTAGAAATTTTTGTTTAAGGTAATATGTATTTACTGAAGCACATAAGTTTATACATTAATATTTGACAAACATACGACTAAAAATGCTAAATAGGAACAGAAGTCGTTATCTGAGTATTCACTAATATGATAAGCTCAATTTTTTTAAACAAATCCAGGGAAATAGTTTGGGATGTTATTTTTATTTAAAAAATAAAAAACAAGTAATTTTTAAACAAAAAACAAAACCGACTTCAATTCACATATAAAAATTTAAGATATGATTAAGATAAATCGGTTAACGTGGTCCAAAGTTATGCGGTAACATACATATAAAAACAGAAAACAAAAAAAAAAATCCGACGAATTAATAACCTTCCTCCTTTTTGTGAAGTCGGTTAAAAATTGGTACAAAGGTTATTTTGTAAAAACTAATTTATCCAACTGCCTAAAAAGAAAAAACAGTTTTGCTATCGAAAAAACATTAACGAAGTAATTTTGTTATGATGAAATTAATATAAAATAAAAAATGCGGAAAATTTAAAATCAACGATATGGGATTTACTAACTTTGGACGTTATTTCTGTGTTTAAAAAATTACCTTTAGGCAATAAAATGCCTACTTTTCTTCTTTTTCTTCCAATGGTAACTTTAATCTGATTAGTAATGTATATTTGCTTATTTGTAAAGTGTCTAGAAGTATTCTTCTTACTTTTTCGAAAATTTGATTTTTATATGAAGGATGGCTGCTAAGATATCAGCTGTCTCTTTTTATATATGTGAATATCGCCCTTTAAAATGTTTGTTCTTCAATAGGCTTTTAGGTTGTCATTAGACGTGTGGATTAATTTTGGGTATGCAGTTTTGTAGCCCATTAAATTTTAGTATAATAAGGTGCAGGTTTCACATCTCTAAAAATTACCTCTGATTTTTGAGAATTTTTTTGTCAAGTGTATTTCGAATTTTGTTCCATATAACGAATGAACAAAATATATTTTTATATGAAAGAAATGCGCAACACCCCCGACAAAAAAAAATTCTCAAAAATCAACGGTAATTTTTATAGACTTGAAGCGAAGAGTTGAACATTTTTTGGTATTCTTGAATTTTCCCGAGTTCTATATGAAATTGAAAAAATTTATTGTGCTGGTTTTTGTTGTTGAACAAACTACCCAGCCAGCAGAGAATCGTACTTTTTGCCGAAAGTGCAGTTTTCGTACATTTTTCGTATCCGGAAACGTTCAGAAAACGATTTCCATATTTGTTAATTTTTCTTATCTGAAAAATGTCATCATATTTCAAAAAAATTATTTTAAAATATTTGTTCAAACTGAGCATTTGAAAACATGTATACGTATTCGCCAGTAGCTGAGTGTGCAGAGGACTGTGCTACTATTTGTTAGCTTTCAGGAGGTCCCAGGTTCGAATTCCGTCAGAAGCAACATATTAAAATTATTTATTCAAATTGAAATAATTGCTCAATCTTAAAATTGCTTTTTGTTTGGTTTCCTGTAGCTATGAAAAAGTTTCTGTGAAGTTCATGAAATGAAATCGTTTTCAACGAAAAATTTAATCAGACAAATTTCAGGAAAACAGCCGAAAGCGCATCCGTTTTACAACCATTTTCGATAGTTTTCTACACATACGTTTCGGCTGAACACTTTAGTGGGAGAATCGATCTGAAAAACGTCCGAATACGGTATCGGAAAACGGATGAAACATCAGGGCTCGAATTGTCACATACGATGTCGTATTACTCGTCACGTAAAAACACCGTTTTCGGATTATAACATACGTGAGCGTACTCTTTATCCCATTCAGCTTATACGACTGACGGTATCACGTAATTTTCTTTCGTATGGTTTTCGATCCGTGAACGGATGCTACGATTCGAGCCCAGGTTTTTATACGAAATTGTTTCCATTTTCGGATACGTTTCCGGATATTTTGCTAGCTGGGTACATACGTACATACATATGTATATTTTTATAAAAAACAATAAGAAAAATTTGGTATGGAAAATGTAAATAAAGAAACGTCAGGGTACTCATATTTTTGACGCTGACTGCACAAAGATATTAAGGAATAAAAAAGAAAGAAAAATTTCGATGGTCTTGAGAGAAATCCTGCCACCCTATTAAGAATTTAAAGATGCAGATTTAATAGAAATACGTTCAAATATGGGAAACATATCGAATTTTTCGTATATCCAAAATTTTCATGGCAGTAGGTTTCGTAGTCCATAACAATGCAGTTGTATTTTTAAATTTAGAGTTCATACAACTTCCGAATGCTGGATTTCGCTGTAACATTCTACTTTTCGCCTCGGTCTGGCGCTGTTTGAGCTGTAGAACATCTCAATGAAGCTTTCCGCTTTACCTTTTGTACGAAAAACTGCGATCTCCGTACGGATTTGCAACAAAATCTTCGTATCTCGCGAAAACGCACTGAGGACCTTCAGATCACTGTTTTTATCACCTTGACCATGCTAACCCCCGCTCCCTGGTTTTCTCGTAACTGCCAGGCCTTATTTGTACCGATTAAAACCCTGCAAACTGTCGAATAGTGCAATCTTAAGTTTTTAGCAATTTTACGTATACTTAAGGCCGAATCAAGTATAAACTCGTGCAAAATGGTTTGTCTCATTTCTAACTCGGTTGCCATTTTTAGCTCAACTAGGAATCAAATTCAAATGAAATTTCTTCTACGTCCAACTAAGGTCATGGTGAACTTATGGTATTTGAATTTCAAAATATTGAAATCTTTTTGGGTAAGTTCTAAGCTTCCCAAAGTGTCGCAATTTTGGTGTGTTCACCCTTTATGAACGAAATCAGACCAAAAATACTAGTTTACCAAATATATCGACTCGTGAGCCAACTATCGGCTTGGCTCAGCATTTATGTTGAAAATAGAAATGGGTTCTTGATTTCATAATGAAAAATATATAAATTTTTAACTTCTAATTACTAATAAGGTACTATTAAATTTGATTATAACAATTAAAAAAAAACTGAACTAGATTTTTAAATAGAATCTGCTATAATCGAAATACGGAAATCCGGCTGGATTTTAGCCATTATTCGGCCGGATAGTTGGATAGTAGAAAAAAGGCCGGATAAGCCGGATTCTGGATATATACCGCAACGCGATTTTCTAGTCGCTTCAAACTTGTACTTGTTTTACTAGATTTAAAGATTACTCAAAATTTGTCTAAAAATTCAGATTAAAAAGTTCAAAATTTAGACGAAAATTTGAAAACTAATTTTTCTAAGGTCTGTTTAAAGTTTGGTTTTGATTACAGCATGAACCATGTTTTCATAAAAAAATAACAAAAAAATTTAACTTGAAAACCATTGCAAATATTAAACCAAAAACACCATGCACTCACTTTTTTACAATTTAACAATTTCGAATACAATAGATGTACATAGATGGGCGTACGCAGAGCATAATTTAGGGGGACGAGCTGAGATTTTTTGTAATGTAAATTTTATTAGAAATGTTAAAATATAGCTACTAAAAATTTTTTAATAATTTTTCATTGATTTTTCTCTTTTTAACCGACTTCAAAAAAATTAGGAAGTTATCAATTCATCGGAATATATTTTTTTTTTGTGTATGTTACCGCATAACTTTGGACCACATTAACGGATTTCGATCGATTTCGATTTTTCTATCGGATAGGTGGTGCCTCAGCGGAGGTCCCATACCATTTTTTTTTAGATCCGATAACTGGACCATGAAGAAATTAAAGGTACTTCTAAATTTGTATATAAGAATTGAAGTCGGTTGTGTTTTTTGTATAAAAATTACTCGTTATTTTAACAATTGAGTCGTACCGAGCATGCAGTTTGTTATGAACTTATTTAAGAGTTAAAATAAAAATTTGTTAGTTATCTTAATTGCATGCAAATTTTAAAATGCGACTTCGTCTTCATCTAAAAATCGTAATTTTTTAATTATTTTTAACCGACTTCAAAAAAAGGAGAAGGTTATCTATTTGTCGGAATATTTTTTTATGTATGTTGCCGCATAACCGATTTCGAAAATTTTTTTAAATGAAAGGTTAGTTTTTTTCCTAATTTTTCACTCATTTCTTATCAACTAGGTACAATCCATCAGACGAATTGGATTTTCATTAATACCTGGTTTTTTCTTCGGAAAAACTACGTCCAAATTCAATTTAAAAAAAATTTTTTGAAATTTGAAATTTTTTCTCAAAAACTAGACGTGCTAGACAAATTTTGTCAATGCACTTCAAATTAGTATCAAAAAATATATAAGAACAGGTCGACCCGTTTTTTGAGATAAATTACGAACAAATTTTGTTGAACTGTGTTATTTTACCTTTTCTTTGACACTGACTGTATATACTTACAACAAATCGCGAGCTAGTCGGTTATTAAAACACGAGTTGTAAATTTCAATAAAAACGTTTGATGGGAACTTGCGATGCATACGTACATGCATACATAGGCACAATATGTGTCATAAGCATAAAAAAGGAAAAAAGAGGACTACGACTGCAGCACATTCACTGGCTAAATTTATTAACTTCGGAAAAAGACGAATTATTAGAATAAGTTAATAAATTGAAATTTCTTCCTGACTGTTTTATTTACGACTTTATTTCAGAGTTTGATTTATCGCATGCGACCTACATAGATTACTTCCTTAGCTCACTAAATTCTAATAACTCAAACTCTAATACTATGTCTCCATTGTGAGATTTACCTATCAAGATTTAATAAATCCAGTTGCTAAATCACAACCGTCTCCATTGCTACAACGAGATATGTTTGACGTTCACATTTTTAAATATTTGACGTTTTCTTATGTCTGATTTCATGAATACAGTTGCGGACACTGAAATACAGAGAGATAAAAGGAAGTAACCAGCAGTGGAGTTCCATTATGTGAATTCTTTATTATTATTCGTGGTAAATACGTATAATATATAGTTTGGAAAATGTAACAAATGGTACAATATTCGGAATCATTTTCTC